GCGGTTGATGGTGTCCTGGTCGATCTCGGTGGAGTCCGGCCGCATGGTGGCGTAGCTGCTGCGGTAGAGCTCGTGCGGCGTGCTGGCGATGTCGCGCAGGCCCTGCTCGTTCAGGTTCCGGTTGGGGGCCACGGCGAAGAGCCGGATGCCCTCCTCGCGGGCGCGCTCGGCCTGCAGCTTGATGCCGCCGCACGGGCTGCCGGTGACGTGGCCGTCCGTGATGACCACGGCGAAGTTGACCGCGCCCTTGGCGCCGTGCTGGCGCACCTCCCTGGTCATGTTGCCCAGCGCGCAGTCGGTGAAGGTGCCGCGGCGGAAGGAGCGGATGCCCTGCAGGCTCTTGGTGAAGGAGGCGCGGTCGCTGCCCGGCGGGCTGAACACCTCCACCTGGTCGGAGAAGTGCAGGCCGCCGTAGCGCCAGCTCAGGGCCACCTGGTCCAGGTACAGCTCGTCCTGCAGCTGGCTGATGAACTGCGGCACGAACTGCTGCATGTGGTACAGGAGGCTGTCGGTGGGGGACTGCATGGTGACGCTCTCCGACGTGTCCAGCACGAAGTACACGTTGACGGGGCAGTCGGCCTTCTCTGGGGACAGCGACGGAGCGCGCGCGTGAGCCGCGCTGACCTCACCCGCACACGGGGCCTGCTGGGCGCCTCTGCTCACCCGCGCCCGCCCCCGCACCGGTACCTGGGCAGTTGCTGTTTCTCTCCGAGGGGCCGGGGGCGACGACCTCCTGCTGCTGGGCGTGCAGCACCCCCAGGAGCCCCCAGAGGAGGAGGGCGGAGCACGGGCCTCGGAGCATCTCTGCAGCGCGCGTGCGCCCTGATGCACTGAAAGCGAGAGGCGAGCCGCTGCAGACTGCGCCCGCGCAGCCTCACGGACACCCTCCGGGTCCCCAGGGGCCCCCCCCGCCCCGCCCCATGGTGGGGGCAGCAACACATCCGGTCAGCCAGCACCTGGGCTCAGGGACCCCGGGTGGGCACCACGAACATTCAGCGGACGCAGAGACTGCGAGCTTTGGGCCGGGCTCTGGGTGGGATCAGGACGGTCACCGCCGTCCAGCCCTGGAGCCTGAGTCTGCTAGGCAGACGCATCCTCAGGACCGGAACCGCCAGTGACCAGACCGAGGACAGAGGACTGTGGAGGGAGTGTCTGGGGGCAGGACAGACGGCGCGGCTGGGGCGACTGGGAGGAGGGGGACTGGAAAGGAGAGAGAGACCCAGGCTGGGGCGCGGTGGGCCTTGGAACTCGGTGCCCCTGTCCAACCGACCCCTGCTGACCAGGTAGGGAGGCGCGCCTGGGGGTGCAACGTGAGGGCTGGACGCAGACAGGCCTGGGGAGCCCACAGACAGCGAGTGCTTGGTTTTGGGGGACTGTCCCCAGAGCCAATCACTGTGCCCTGGTGCGTTTCACAGATCCCTGCCACTTGCTGCCCTCCCCCAGGCCCACTCTGCCACCAAACAGGAAGGACCTGGAGGCTGGGGCGGGTGGGCTGGCTGGGCTCTGGGGACCCAGCCAGAGAGGAAGCGGGACTCTGTGGGAGGGTGAGGAAGGGGCTTGGCCCAGCTCTTCCGGAGGGGAGCCGGCAACCCCCCTGCTGCCCCTTGGAGCCACAGGAACAGAGGCCGGTCCCGAAGGACACCGCCCTGCAGGGCCGGGGGCCCTGTTGGCAGGAGCGCTGGCCGGCTGAGCCCCTGCAGGGCTGGGAGTGAAGGCTGGTGCCTGGAAACAGAGCCACGGGGGGCTCTCTCGCACAGGTTTACCCCTCACTGCACGGGGAACCTCCCACGTCTGAGAGCAGGTGCCACTCCACCTGGCTTTACGGTGAGAGGGGTTCGTTCCAGCATAAGTAGGGGTGAACTGGACATGGCTCTGCCTCCTCTGACATGGGGTCTGCTTAAGAGAAGAGGCCATGACCCCGCAGGTGGTAGCAGAACCCTGTAGGTGGTGATGGATGCAGGCCCAGTGGGAATCCAGGAGGGTTTCCTGCAGGTGACAGGTGTGCCAGACCAAGGAACCTGGCCGGAGTGAGGGGCTCTGGCTGAGCAGGGCTGGTTCGAGGTGGAGGGCTGGGGGCGGGCCAGCGTCCTGAAGGGCCTGGAAGCCTCAGGGAGTCAGGCTACGACAGTCAGAGCCATCGACTGTTGGTGATGGCCGCCATGAGACCTTATTCAGGGGGCCAGTCAGGGCTGAACACTGGGAGGTGGGCACGGCTCTATCCTCTGCTACCCCCACCCTGCTGCCCCCACGGTGGACAGACCCCCATGGGTGCCATGGTGCTACCCTGTCCCGTCTGCCTCAGGTAACGGAGGAGGGGACCGCGGGGCCAGGGAGACTGCACCCAGGTTCGCACTGTTCTCTATGTGTGTGCACGCACACCACCCCACACACCGCACACACACACCACACCCCCACTGTACTCACACCCTCCATACCACATACACACTGCACAGTCCCCTGCGGCAGACACATGTCACACGCACACCCCCCACAACCACGCACTACATACTACACACACCCACACGTCACATGCACACACATCACACATCCCCACACACTACATACATACTACACACACCACACACGTCACACACACCACACACGTCACATGTCACACACTACATACATACCACACATCCCATTGTACTCACCCTCCACACCACATATACACTACACACTCCCCCACCGCACACACATGCCACATGCGCACATGCACACATCACACACACCCCACATACTTCACACATCGCACCCTATATACATACCACATACCCCACACATCATATGCACAGCGGTGGGACACCACGCACACACCCACACACACCACACACACTACATACATACTACACCCTCCCACCACACACACGTTACATGCATGCACAGCCCTACATGCCACATGCACACACATCACACCACACCCTCTACTACATACATACGACATGCACACACATCACACACATGCCACACAGCCCATACATCACATGCACACACCATACACATGTCATGTACATATCACACACCATGTACACACCCCACACATCACACACACCACATACACACCACGCACAACTCACACATCACACACTCCACATGACACCGTGCACATCACACTCTTACCTTCACACCCCCACAATCACATGCATGCATCACACACCCCACATATCACATGACACATCACACACCCGCACGTCACACACACACTGCACACACCATACATGTCACACCCACGTGTCACACCCCACACATCACATGCACGCATCACACACGCCATCTTCAGCTTCACCGATTCTTCTGTCCAAATCAGCATTTGAATTCCTCTAACGACTTTTTTCATTACAGTTATTATATTTTTCAGATCCATTATTTCTTCGAGTCCATCTAGGTTTTCTGTCCTTTACTGACATTTCCCTCTGTTCC